CCTGTTGGCGTTTCATGATACACGCTAATATTTTGAAGGCTCTATAGTACAGGAACTTTGTTTACCTTTCTATAACCCATTGTATGGATTAGCAGTTAGGCACAGCCAGATCTAGGGGCTTGAATGCTGGGATAAGGGCTTGGCCTTTGATATTCTGGCTTTATTTTCTTCTGCCTTGCCTTCTTAGGTAATTTCTAGAAATTCTTTTTGATTTTAGAGAGAAAGGGGAGAGAAGGAAGGAGAAAGGAAGGGAGACGGGTAAGGGGAGGGAGGGAGGGAAGGGGAGAGAGAGAGAGAGAGAGAGAGAGAGAGAGAGAGAGAGAGAGAGAAAGAAACACTGATGTGAGAGAAACATAGACTGGCTGTCTCCTCCGCACCTCCTATGAGGATCAAGCCTGCAATCCAGACATGTGCCCTGACTGAGAATGGAACCAGCAACCTTTCAGTGCAGGGAAGACACCCAACCAATGGAGCCATACTGGCCAGGGCTCTAGCAATTTTGAGCTTACAACATCCTTTTAACTAAAGGGCTTCTCCTTTCTAGTGGTTCTAGTAAAATTCCCTTAATTGTGTCTCTTTTGCCTGGACTGATCCCTGCACTGATTATCATGGCCAGGGTGATAGAAAATATGCATCATTCAGGCCGGAATTGGGGCTCCCCCTGGCCAGAGCAGCGTGTGTATGTGTGTGTGTGGGGGGTCATTCCTGTGTGAGCTACATGAACTGTAGGGGCTGGGGGTGGAGTGAGTCCCTAAAAAAAAACTGAGGTATAGTTTCCAGGGTAGGGAGGGATGAATGCTGAGCAGGCAGAAACAACAGTTTCCAACTCTGACAATACAGCCCTTTTATTGTGTAAAACCTATTGGAACACACATGGAGAAACACTGCCAAGTGCTCGTCATACATTTTTTCAAATAAGTTCAGAATACAATAAAACACACATGCATGTAAACATGTGGTTGGCCCTTTCTTTGATGATTTAGAAACCTCGGTGATCCTGCAGTGCCTCAGTGTTGACTCCGTTGAAATATCCTGGTCACTGGTAGTTGAGATTGTTTGGCTGCTTGATAAATGGGAGGTTAGGACACAGCCAGAGTGCAGGGCCCAGGGAGCCTGGGAAAGCTCACTGACCGGACAGTAGATGCAGTGTATGGTGTAGTGTTCTCTCAAGTTCCCACCACCCCAGCAGATGTCATCTCACTTTATCCACACACAACCCTTTCTCTGTGTTACCTTCCCATCTGGGTGGGGAATTGAGGCTCAGAGAGGTTAAGCAACTTGGCAAATTCTTCACAGGCTTGCTCAAGGCCTGCTCTCAGGGAGTTACCTTGAGTAGCTTCAGTTCAGCTCAGGAGCAAATGGTCCGTGGCCCTGGCAGCTGCTCTGTGCCCTGGCACTGTGACTGCTGAGCTCCTGCTATGGGACAGAGCTACCTGGACAACTGGAAAACCTCAGCTAAGTCATTGCCTGGCCCTTTCATTGTAATTTAAAAAATGATGGTGGATTGGGGGGGCGGGGGGGGAAGAAAACCAAGCCCATGGCACACTTCACCACCCCACTCCTTGCCTTTGATCATTAAACATTTCCTAGAGTTGCTCCCCTGGTAACTAAGTTGTTCACAGCTTGTCTACTATTCTTCCTGGGATTTGTAACGAGGTCACCCCTGGCCATCACGCAGACCTGGAGGAGGGCTGTTTATGTCATCGTAAAGAAGGAGGCACATTTCGCAGGCATGCTTTCTGGTCTAAATGATGACTGTTCAACCTCCCAGGCCCTCCGAAGCCTTCTGTTCAAACAAACATTATTTATGTTCGGCAGGAGAACCGTTCCCCACTGTCTGCTTGCTCTACACTTACTTACAACTTCACATTTAATTTCTGTTTACACATATATAAACCATGTCTTTAGGAGCAGCCTGGGAAATCCTTCGTTGAAGATGGATCTCGCCTTTGGAAAACACAGAGGTGAGTGACATCTGTATATTGTGTTATCAGAAGCATGACACGTGGCTGATTGGGACCAGGTGCTCCACAGAACCCATCTGAGCGAAGTGGTAAATCTCTAGTTGACAGGCAAGGTGACAGCGCAGTTCTTGTCAGCAAAGGCTTGGTTAGCAATATCTTCCCTCCCCCTTAGGGGTGGCGAAAAACAGTTGAGAACTTTGGGGTGCTATGAATACGAAGCTGAGGTTTGACTAAAGATAACACTCACTGGTCAACCCATATACATTTGACCTGTAAAAGCAGCTCTAAAGGGACAGGATGGATGTGTGTGGGACAGACAACAATTTTAGGTGAAGCTTAGAAGATTGGTAGAATTCATTGGGTATTTAGTTTTCTACTGTTTACTTCAAGGTTTGCATTAAGATCAATATTTTCTTAGTTGGCAGTCTGGGACCTGGGTAGGGAACCTTCCTTGATTTAACTCACATTCAATGCATTCTGAGTCTGAATCCTGAGGTCTTTAAATCATAGCTGACTCAGTTAATGAGGACAGAGAGAGACAAAAGCAAGGAGGTGTCACCTTATTTAGTTTCCTAATTTATCCTTTCTTGGATTAATTCACCAACAGATCAGTTTTCACTGGGTTATTCTCCAAGGGGGTCATCCTTCTCTCTACCCCACCCCAACCCTAACTCTTACCCTTTGGGGATGAATTTACCTATTTTGGAGAGCCCCACAGATTACTGAGATCTAACTTGTCCAATTTTAGCTGAGAACCATTAATAAAATTGTATTATTTCCTTTGGGTTTATCTGCAGGATAATACCCGAGGCGAATGGACAATAGCCTGCTGCCTATGAGAAAATCTACCACGAGGTAAGTGAAATATCCTTAATTTTGCTTTTACTTGTTTATTCATGAATGGACATTTCATCAATTTTAAAAGTAACTTAAAGGAAATAGCCCTTATGTGCAGATTTGGGTATCTTTTAAAATATTTTTATTAATTTCAGAGGTAGAGAGAGATAGAAACATCAATGATGAGAGAGAATCATTGATTAGCTGCCTCCTGCCGACTGGGGATCGAGCCCACAATTTGGGCATGTGCCCTGACCAGGAATCAAACTGTGACCTCCTGGTTCATAGGTTGATGCTCAACCACTGAGCCACACCTGCCGGGGCATTTGGGTCTTTTGAATTGAGACTGGGCTGTCCATTTGGATCATAAGATAACTTCTTGGGAGGTATTCCTGGAAGTTTGTCAGTATTTTGGTGAGTCTTTGATTTAGCCACATGGGCTGATCTGTTTTCTTCCAAGACACAGAGCTTGGTTTACTAGCTAATGCCTCTGGTGTTTACACTATTGTGCAGTAGTGAACTCTGAATGAATGACTGATGTCCTTCTCAATCAAGAATGAAAACACAGGGGAATCTTCCGGTGTTGACCATGGGAAGTAATGTGATATTTCTGCCAGCCTATCCTTCACCCCCCCTTCTCTCTGAGTAACTTGGGTGGTGACAATAGCAGTTAGCATTCAGTGAGTGCATCAATGATACGCCAGGCACCCTTATATTTCCTCGACATGAAGTAACTAACTGTTTTCTCACCACAACCCTATCCTATGAGGTATCCTCTTTTGAAAGGTGAAGAAGTTGAGGCATAAATGAGCTTGGATGATGGTTGCCTATTCTGGTCTCAGTGGACTCACAGATTTCTTGGGCTCATCTTGCCAAACTCCTAGAAACATCTGAGGCCAAGCAGGGGACTGTAGTGTGAGGAGTTACAACCCCAAGACTGGCCTGTGGTTAACATCCCAAACTTTTACACTGTGGTTGGTGGCATCTTGGAAGGTATGTCTCCTTTACTCCCTGCTGTGCTCTGTGATTTTGGCTGGAAAATTTTCCATGTGCTCTACTCAAGCCCTTTCCATGGTTTAGCCTTCCTGGGTTTTTGCTCTGGCATCTGACTCATCCGTCCTCTCCTGGAGTTTCTGTAGCGCATTGTTTGGTTGCTGGTATGTATTTATAGTTCTAGCATTGGCAACATCTAACATGCCTGAGGAAATGATTGGAATTTCAAGACGAGCTTTCTGGTGTATTTTTATGCTGCTCAGCAGAGTGTGATGCGCTGAAGTCAGTGCTGGCAAACGGGCTGGAGGTTGGCTTTCTGGCTGGGGCGGCTCACAGAGCTCCATGCATGGCCAGTGTCTGGGCCTGGGGACGCGCCGACGTCCCCCAGAGCCTGTTCATGAAGAGCTCGGTAATATGCTGTTTTGTTTTGACACTTTCCACAGTAGCTTTATTTAAAAAGAGGAGCTAGGAGCCCCAATATGCCATAATTGATTTTAGGGGACGATAAAATAACCCCTGTAAAATGTGCTATTGTCATCTCTAGCAACCTCCAAGCAGGAAGGAGGAATGGGGCACACGCCAGGGTGGCCACGCGTGGTCGGCGCTCACACGGAGGAGCTGGAGACAGCACAGTGGGTAAGAGCGAGGCTCTGGCTAAAAAGCCAGACGACTGGCGTTTGGAGCGGTTCCACCAGCTGGATGACCTTGGGCTTCTCATACGTTAATGGAGATAATTATAGGGTTGATGTGAGGATTAACTGTGGCAGGATCTAGAAATGTTAGCCCCTGCCAATAGTATACACGCACAACTTCAGCATGCGGTTACTCCACACTGCACACGGCATATAAGCCGGGCCCGGAGTGAGGCTCCTCCCGAACCCAGGCCTGCACCTACCCACACATGCCTGTGCTTCTTCTCTTCCCAAAGGTACTGCGGCTCCCGTCTTCCCACTCTATAGGGCCGGAAATAAGACGACTGTCAAGGGCAGCACTGAGACTGAATATGTGCACATCCACAGCCTTAGCCCCTCTGGCTTCATTGACAGAGCCAGCCCTCCCAGGCCTGGGCCCCCAACGCCCCTTGGGAAGCTGAAAACTGCAATTCTCCCTCTGTAGCCAGACACAGGTAAGTGGCCCAGAACCACCCTCGCCCCGACACAACACAAGATGGGAGGGCTGAGCTTAAGAGAGACTCAGACGACACGATTTAAATAAATAAGCTGTATTATCTGTACAAAAAATATAAATACAGTTTTGTGTTTTAGAGGAGGAAGTGCCTCCTTCCACATTATTCAGCAGCCCTAATAATCTTGGGGTGCTGCTGAGTCACAATTCACAGAACAAACAATAAATGAACATTCATGTCATGCAAGGGGCACACGGCTTCCTACCCCAAACCCAGGTCCTCCAAGCTGGCTCTGCAACCCATTTCAGAGGTTCCAGCCTGACATGGGGGAGCTGAGGACACCTGCTGTGTAGAAAATGTGAATATTGGCCTGTGGTTTTCAAAAGCTATTGAACTAGAAATAACCAGCCACATTAGCAGTAGGATAGAATTTGTCTTCTTCACCCCACGTGTTAACTATTGTGTCACAAATGAATTCTCTCTCACTGCCCCATCATCCCATGTTAGTTTTTACAATGTCTTCTGTACACAGTGAATGGATCCAGAGTTAAACATCAGGTTCTATTAAAAAGAGGAACAATACAATAATCACCAGAGTTTACAGAAACACAACTGCAAGAAGTTACTAAAAAGTCCCCCAAATACTTGGTTTTCTGGATGACAATGTACAATTATTAATATTGCACTTTTTTTTATACAAGAAATCCTAATAAATATTCACAAAAGATATACAGACATAGAAAACATTCTCTTTTATTTTAAATAAACATTACACTGATTTTTAGTGACATGATTTCTTAGAGCCCATTTTTGTGGTGAGGAGGAAGGAAACCCACCTAACTGTCCACAGCTCACCTGGGGAGGACACAGGTTAACGTCGTCTCCCCTCCAATTTCCTTGCAGGCTGGAAAACACAGCCCTGATGTCAGTGGAGGCCCCGAGGGAGTGGTGCTTTCTCTGAAGGTGAGTGACTGTCGCCGCCCTGCCCTGCCATGACGACTAAACTGTGGCCACTCGGGGAGATGGCCAAAATCATGCGTCCAAAGCCGCTTGCTGAATAAGCAATTAGCCCAATCACCAAAACTGGCATATGTGGACTCCTGGTAGTTCACTGTGTGGGGGGAATGGGTTGAAAGTCTTGGAGGACAGTCTTGGAAGCTTTAGTTATCTTTTGGCTTTGCCATTGCACCCCACACCCCGCCCCAACCTGCTCTATAGACAGGAGGGAACTCTCACTGTGGTCTGGGCAGGGCTCCCACAAGCCTACAGTCCCCCCCACCCCCGGACAGCTCTGGAATGAAGTGGCTGCTATGTCCTGCTGGCTGCTCTCGGGCAAATTGATGATAATGAATTGGTTTTTGAAAATTGACTCTAGTCCCTGGCTCTTAAGTGGGGCAGCAAAGGCCATACATGCTCAGATGCCCCTGGCTCACATCAGCAGTGAGTTCCAGGCTGGGGGACTCCGGACTTAGATAGAGATGCCAGGGGTGGTTTTGCTGCGGGCGTACAGGCAGAAAGTTCTCTGAGACAGCGTGGGGAGAGAGCCTCCCCTCCACCCCCTGGAGGGCACGTCTCATACCAAAACCTGAGCCATGAGGGCAGCAGAGCTCCGAGCGGCCCCTCCCCTGAGCCTGCCGGGGCCCATGCCCAGGGGGTTCAGAGCCCCTCTGGGAGCCTCCTGGCTACTCACTCCTCCCCTGTCTCCCTCTACTCTCCCCTGAGGAACATGCACAGGCTTTCTTGCTTCTGTCCCCCTGCCCCTCTACTCCCTCTTTCTGCACTGTGTCCTTTAGGCCTACTTGGACTGTCTCCTCCTTTCCCCCTACGTGTCCATGTTTTGAGTTCTTGTTGCTGTGCCCTCCACCTCCCCTTCCAGCAGAAGAACTAAGTTCTGGGCTGCTTCTGCCTCAGCATGGTGTCCCCCTCGCCCTTTCTGAGGCCTAGGAACAGAGGCAGAGGAGGAGACAGGAACAGCGCGCTCCTGCATTAACAGTGCGTGGGAAAGACCCAGTGGGTGTCCAAAGTCAGGACCAATGCTTTACAAACCATCTGGGACCTGCCCACCTGCCTCCTGGGAGCTCTGGCTCCACGCTGTCCCGAGGGGCTGTCCCTGCCTCTTCCCAGGTCTCTTTAGGACCCAGGTTTGGGAGGGAGCCAGCTTTGCACGGGAGCTCCCACTGTCTGGCCCGGTCTGCTCTGCAACCTCCTTTAGACCTCTGTCCTGTCTGTTCCCAACATTCTGTCCTCCATCGAACTGAAAGAGAAGGCATGCTGAGGTCCTCAAGTCTGGGGTGGGGGGGGCGGTGGGGGTTGGATGGGGGTGTGCGTGGTTGGGGGCAGGGAGGGGGAAATAAATAAAATGAAGAAAGCTTAAGTTCTGTCCAAGGTGGTTGCGTGAGTCCTTGGTGCAGCCAGGGTCCGTCTTCCCTAGGCCCTCTCTTCACGCTTTGCCACAAGTTCCACAGCAGCGAGACTTGAACTGGCTGAGTTGGCAGAGTTTCAGCTGTTTCACCTTCTCGCAGTACCTGGTGGTATCACTGCACTCCACTGGGAAAGGGGGTGGGGCAGAAAGGAAACGTGAAACAGAGATTAACGGCTCTGGCCAACTGGGTGTTTCCTGGGGTCTGCCGTGGGCACCAGACTCCTGTGCTGGAGGGGACACTGCTGTCCCGTGAGCTCAGCCACCACCCCTCCTGCCCCTGGCTGCCAACACGGGGCCTTTCTGAGAGCCCCCCTTCCGGCCGGTGCCTGTGGGCTCCCTGTCTTTGGCCCGCCTCACCTCCCAGGCAAGCTTGCTGTTTCCCATGGTATTTTAGTATTTTAGTAAGTGACTCTCCTCCTTGAGATGGGTTCCAGAAGGACTACATTTTGTTCCACTGCAAGGTAGCATGTGAGTGAGGCCCTAGTTGATGGCCTCACCCCCCCTAGCAGCTTTGTCTTGGCATATTCTCCACCTATGCCTCTCTACTTCTCATCACCAGGCCTTACTGGACACCACGACCTTCTAGTTCAGTACTGGCACAGACTGCAATTTCTTCAACACTGGTGCTGATTTGGGTTGTGGACATCCCGGATTGACCTAGTCTGAACTCCTTTCACTGAACACTGGTCCTCCGTGTGGTGAGCTCCTACCACCAAGATGGGTCAGCCCCACCCTCCCCAGTGTAGAGAAAGCCACCAGGACTGAAGGTAAGGGGACTGTTGGCCTCCAGGTCTCCTGCCTCCGCGCTGGGAATTGGATGCCCAAGGAGTCCCTGTTGGGAGGAAATGGCACTGCACCAGGTAAGTTTCCTAGTCTTTGCCTCACGCTTTGTCGTCTTCCCTGTGGGGGAAACACCTCCAATTTGTTTTGGGTCCAGAGGAATAAAAAATAGATCCCCACCCAACAGGAATACAAATGCTGGTGTTGGGCTGAGGAGGACCAGACCTGCAGAAGGAGGGAGTGAACGAGTGTCAGATCCCTGGGCAGGGCTCAGTGTGGTCGGTGCCCTGGGGCAGGGGAGGAGGGAGGCGGTCAGCAGAGCCTTGTTCTGTGAGAAGCAGAGCCGTGATGGGCGCTGGGCCTGCTGAGCGGGGGCACTCTGCGTGCTGCTTTAGTGTGCACAGTGCTTTCTCCTTAGTAGCCCTCCTCCGAGACCACAGTTCAGTTGTCCCCTGCGCACCTGCCAAACGACTGCAGGTGAGCTGGAGGCTGATTTCATCTGGCACTTGGCTCTCTCAGGGCCGGGATGGAGCCCTTAGGGCACTCAGCCATCTTCTGTGGCTTGAATATGTGTACACACATCCTTGCACACACCTATGAACCCCTCTGAAATACCTAACTCTAGCCCCAGCTCACAGTCCTTGGGAAGCCTGATCCAGTGCCCTGTGCTCAGGCTTGGGCCCGGGGACTGCCCTCTGCACCCGGTGCCCTGCGGGGAATCTGCGGAAGGCTCTTTGGGATCGGAACATACTGTTTTCACATGGGGTGATGTTGCAGCGCTGCCAGTTGGCGGGCCGGGGCCCCCAGGAGCACAGGTGCTCAGGCACCGCCTTGTTGGTGTGGGCGTGCACACACTCCACACGCCGGGACTGGAAGCCGTAGTTGCCGCAGGTCGCTGTGCACAGGGTCCACAGGCTGACCCTCCAGTGTACGCTGCAGGCTTCTGACCAGCAGTTCTGGGTGCTCACGGGCCTGCAGGAGGAGGAGGGCAGGGTTAGCTCTGCCTCTGTGGGGGCTGGAGCTGGATGCAGGGTGGGGACAGATGTGACAATAACACTGCAAACCCAAGGATGTTGGGCAATGAAGAGCTTCCAGTGCTACCAGACCTGGGCTCCGATCTCTGCTCTGTTACTGAAAGGCTCTAAGACAGTGGTTCTCAACCTTCCTAATGCCGCGACCCTTTAATACAGTTCCTCACGTTGTGGTGACCCCCAATTTCATTGTTACAAATTGAACATAATTAAAGCATAGTGATTAATCACAAAAACAATATGTAATTATACATGTGTTTTTCCATGGTCTCAGGCGACCCCTGTGAAAGGGTTGTTCGACCCCCAAAGGGGTCGCGACCCACAGGTTGAGAACCACTGCTCTAAGATTTCAGAAGGCCACCTCCTCTAACTGGGACTTTGTCTGCTCATCTCTACAATGCCTGCCTCACTGCAGGACCTGAGAATGGGCTCAACCCAGGGTGCAGGTTTGTAGAGGCAGAGCCTGGAGCCAGCCTCAGGGGCCTTATGTGGGGGTAGTGAGCCATCACCCCAGGGGGACACCTAAAGGAGGTATGACAGGAAATGGGGGCTGGATAGGGATGACAGGACAAAGGCTCTCATGTCAGCATAACTTCTAGAGGGAGGTCAACAAGAGTGAGGGGGGCTGCTGGAGCCCTTAAGATCTGGTGACCACTTTGTGGACTTCACCTCCTGCCCACCCTGGGGCCAGTCAGGTCTCTTGTGGTTTCAGGCTTTCCTCAGAGGAACCTATACATCTTCATCTCCGAGAAAGGAGCGCCCAGCCTGGCCCATTCAGTAAACACAAGGACACTGCTGAGCCTTCTCCCTTGGGAGAATTGAGGTGAAAGGGCAGGGTATGTGACCCCTGGGAGATTGGAGGAGAAACATTCATTCACCACCATCTTTCTGTGCTATTGACACAGGGGCTGGGGCAAGGAGGCCCATGGTTTTCTCTTACCTCGGAAGGGCACTGCACTGCTCTGACGGTAAGGTGACGCCGTCCAGTGTCTGGCAGAAGACTTGTCTGTGTTGCACAGCTAGGTGAGGCCCAATGCAAGGCCCGTTGCACTGGTAAGCAGAGAAAGGTGACATAAACATATAATGTTAGGCAAGCCAGGGGGAGGCTGCAGTATTCAGGCTGCATGGGACACATGTGCAGGGTCAGATCATTCATCTTGCCCCTCTTTGGGCCAACTAAAGGGTGTTCACTGGCATGCTTCCTTTGTGCCACAGTGGAAGGGTTAGCTTTCCTGTGGTCTGTGAGCATTCTGCTAGCAAATGGCTAATGGTAGTTGTAGAGCCAATCAGAGAATGCCAACTCCTCCCAGATTAAACAGGTGAAGGATTTCTTGGCCTAAGGGGCCAGGAATGTGTTGGTAACCTTTAGAGGTGAAGACCTTAAGAAAAGCCCCTCAGTCCCACCTTGAGTCCTGAGAATTACTTGATTTATTGTTTTCTTGCTAAATTCACCCAAGTAACCAAGTCTATGAGTTCTTTCTTTCCTTTGGCTTCATTTTCTCCAGGTTAAACCCAGGATGGCTGAACAAAAGCAGACTTAGGTATGTACAACTAGTCCCTGCTTATATTCTCTTGATGATATGTGCTCATGGAGATGGTTAAGCTTTTCCTAGAGTTGGCAGAGCCAGACTCTAGCACAGTAAATGCCCGTAACAATGGTGTCTGTAAAGTACAAAAGCAGCAGGCCTTAGCTGACATCTGCTATTTGAGTAAGAGGCCAGATATCCCTTAGAGGTCACTTTAGAGCCAAAGTCCTTAACTCGGGGGTCTTTGGACTTCCTAGGGGACCCCAGGAGAGCTATTAACCTTTAAAATTATAAACAGAAATCTTGTGTTTATTGACATTTTTCTAGCAAGAGGCTCTAGCTTTTATCAATGCGCAAAGGATTTCAGAGGAATGTTGTGCACCGGGCCTCTAGTATATACATAATTTGTTAAAATTTATGATTTTATTTATATAATTCAATGGCATTAGTACATTCATGTTGTTGTACACCATTAACATTATTCATCTCTAGAACTTTTTCATCATCCCAAACTCCCTGGCTGTGGTATCCATTATTCGACTTCCTGTTTCTATGACTTTACTCCAGGTACCTCATTTAAGTGAAATCATGCAGTGTATGTTCTTTTGTGTCTGGCTTCTTTAACTTAAATGTTTTCAAGGTTCATCCATGTTTTAGCATATAGAATTTCTCTTTTTAAGGCTGGATAACATACCATTGTAAGTATACACCACATTTTGTTTATCCTTGTATCTGTTAACGAACATATGGGTTGTTTTTATTTTTATAGCTATTGTGAATAATGCTATCATGAATATTAGTGTACAAATATCTGTTCAAATTCCTGCTTTCAGTTCTTCTGAGTATCTAGCTAGAAGTGGAATTGCTGGATCATAAGGTAATTCTATGTTTACTTTTTTGAGGAACCTCCATACTATTTTCCACAGCAATTATTCCATTTCATATTTCCATCAACAGTGCATAAGGGTTCCAGTTTCTCTATATCTTGGTCAACATTTGGTTTTTGTTTTTTTTAAAATAACAATCCTAATGGATAAGTAGTATCTCATTGTGGTTTTGATTTGCATTTCCCTAATTACTAGTGATGTTCAATATCTTTTCATTTGTGTATTGGCCATTTATACATATTCTTTAGAGAAATATCTACTAGTATTCAAGGCTTTGTGTTTTGTTGTTGACTTATAGTTCTCTCCTATATATTCAGGATATTAATCCTTTATCACATTTATGATTTACAAATATAGTTGACCCTGGAACAACACAAGTTTGAATTGTGTTGGTGCATTTATATGTGGATTTATTCAATAAATACTATACTATTTTTCACCCATGGTTGAGAGTTCATGGGTGTGGAGGGCTTACTGTATGCACTGATCTATGCCATTTTATATAGGGGACTTGAGCATCTGTAGATTTTGGTATCCTCAGGGTTGGGGCAATCCTGGAACCAATACTCCGTGGATACTGAGGGATAACTTAAGTTTTTGGGGAGTCAAAAGTTATAAACAGATTTTTGACCATGTGGCAGTGGACACCCCTAACTCTGATGTTATTCAAGGGTCAACTGAATTTTCTCCCATTCTGTGTGTTGCCTTTTTACTCTGTTGATAGTGTCCTTTAATGAAGAAAAGCTTTTACATTTGATGATATCCAGTTTGCCAAATCTTTTTTTGCCTTTGATTTTAGTGTCATATTCAAGAAATCATTGCCAAATGCATTATTATGAAGATTCTCCCCTCCCTGTTTTTCTTCTAAGGGTTTTATACTTTTAACTCTTAGATTCATTTTGTGTTAATTTTTGTATATGGTATAAGGTAAGGATCCAACTTCATTCTCTTGCATGAGCCTGTACAATTTTCCTAGCACCATTTGTTGCAAAGACTGTCCTTTCCACATTGAATGATCTTGACACACTTCATTTGACCATGCTAGAGTTTATTTCTGGGCTTTCTATTTTATTCCATTCTGTTGGTCTATATGTCTGTGTTTGTATGCCAGCCCTATACTGTTTTGATTACTGAAACTGTGTGTAGTAAGTTTTGAAATCAGGAATTGTGAAATCTTCAACTTGTTCTGGCCATTTGAGATCCCATGTGAATTATAGGATTTTTCTATTTCTGCAATTCAAGTCATTGGGATTTTGATAGGAATTGAATTAAATCTGTAAATCAATTTGAGCAGTATTGAAATCTTAAGTTTTCTAATCTATGAACACAAGATGTCTTTTTGCCTCCTTGGTTAAGTTTATTCCTAAGTATTATTTCTGGTACTATTACAAATTGAATTGTTTAAATAGCTCTAAGATTTTTTTAGGCTTTTATATATGAGATCATGTCATCTATGAACAAAGGTAATTTTATTTCTTCCTATCCAACTTGGATGGCTTGACTTTTTTTTCTTTTTCTTGCATAATACTCTGAACTTCCAATGCTATCTATGTTGAATGGAAGTAGCAGACATTGAACCCTTCTGGGACTCCCACAATGTGTATATTGGTACCATTTTCTTCATTCAGCTCCTTAGACTTGTTAATTTTAATAATCCTTTTTTCAGGTTTGCTAATTGTTTCTTCTGCCTACTTAAACCTGCTGTTGAAAATTTTCAATACAGATATTGTATTTTTCAGATCCAAAATTTCTGTCTGTTATAATTTTTCAAGTTATAGTTGACATACAATATTATATTAGTTTCAGGTCTACAACATAGTGATTCAACATTTATAGTCCTTACAATGTTATCACCAGAATAAGTCTAGTAACCATCTATCACCATACAAAGTTATTAAAATATTGACTATTTTTATTATACTATATCCCCATGACTTAAAAAATAACTGGAGGTTTGTACCTTTTATCCCCCACTCCCTTCCCTCTGGAAACCATCAGTTTGTTCTCTGTCTCTAGGGGTCTGTTTCTCTTTTGTTGAATTTGTTTTTAAAGATTCCACATATAAGTGACATTAGATGGTATTTGTCTTATTTAACTTAGCATAACACCTTTTAGGTCCATCCGTGTTTCAAATGGCAAGATTCCACTTTTTATGGCTGAATAATAGGTTTATTCCATATCTTGGTTATTATAAATAATGCTGCAATGAACATAGGGGCGCATATTTGTTTTTGAGTTAGTGTTTTTGTGTTTTTTTTTTCCAGATAAATATCCTGAAGTGGAATTGCTGAGTCCTATGGTCATTCTATTTTTACTGTTCTCCATAATGGCTGTATCAATTTACAATCCCACTAGCTACGCAAAAAAGGGTTCCCTCTTCTCCACATCCTCACCAACACATGTTATTTGCTGACTTTTTGGTAGCAGTCATTCTTACAGGTGTGAGGTTCTCAATGTGATTTTGATTTGCATTTCCCTGATGATTTGTGATACTGAGCATTTTTTTTTCATGTTTGTTGGCCATCTATATATGTTCTTTGGAGAAATGTCAGGTGCTCTGCCCATTTTAAAATTGATTGTTTGTTCTGATGTTGAATTGTGTGAATTATTTTTGCTATTAATCTTATGGGATATATCATTGGCAAATATCTTCTCCCAATCAGTAGGCTGTCTTTTCTTTTCAGTTTGATGTATACCCATTAGTTGTTTTTTCTTTTGTTGTCCTTACCTGAGAAGATATCTGCCTATGATATCAGGCCTTACATAGAAGTCCTAATCCACTTTGAGTTTATTTTTGCTTGTATCTGTCCAGTTTTCCCAACATCATTTATTGAAGAGGCTGTCATTTCCCCACTGTATATTCCTTCCAATGTCATAGATTGACTAAGTGTGGGTTAATTTCTGGGCTTTTATTATGTTCCATTGATGTATGTGTCTGTTTTTATGCAGTACCATACTTCTTTGATTAATATAGTATAGTTTGAAATCAGGGAATGTGATGCCACCAGCTTTTTTGTCCTTTCTTATATTGCTCTGGCTATTTGGGGAAATTTGTGATTCCATATAAATTTTAGGAATGTTTGTTCTGGTTTTCTGAAAAATACCATTGGAATGTTCTAATTTTGTTCACATAAGTTTTTCTGATTTCCTTCAGTTCTTTAAAACTGTTTTTTTCTTTAGCTTCTTGAGTGTATTGAAGACAGTTGTTTTAAGCTCTTTGTCTAATACATCTGAAGCACTGTTTCTTCAGGGATGGTTTCTGCCACTTCATTTTCTTCCTTGAATGGACCATGTTTTCCTGTTTCTTTATGTGGCGTATGATTTATTCTGATATTGGGTTTTGAGGACACAGTCATCTCTCCATCTTTGCACATTCTCTTTACTGATTAGCTGGATGTTCTCTGAGCCTAGGGATCAGCCTTAGGTGAAAGCTTCAGGTCTTTTATGAGCATATGTCTTACACCTAGGCCTGCATGTGGCTTTCTCAACTCCCCTGTACACATGGCTTACTTGCCAGAGTCTCATTCCAGGTTTTTCTAATGTCTATTGTATGTCTCCATCTGTAATCTCTTGCCCCAGGTGCCTACAGGTTGGTAGTCCCCCTGAAGCTTTCACAAGTAGTGGTTGCCACTTGAGA